GCTATGCAAGGATCACAAGTGTTGCCACCCGCACGGAACTCAAAAGTAGCCAATGGATCGATAAAAACTGCGATGCTACTTACCGTGATGATCGCTGCTCTGATATCTCCATCCAGTGCCCATCATGCAACATGTCGAGAAGGTGTAGTCGAAATACGGGAACGGAACACTTCGTACGAGCTTTGTTTCAATTCCGAGTGCAAAACAATCCCCGGCCCCAGTGAGATACGCACTTACAAGCTACCGCCGTCACCCACGCAATCGCACACCAAAGTTGCGATAAAATATGTTGAAGATGAAACACCCACCGATTATGCCCTGATGTGCTCAAATCCTGACTTCTGTGCAGTATCAAGATCACTACTTAGCATATCATTGCTAGGGAACCCAAACTGTTGGCCGGTTGGTGCTGTTATAACCGTTGCCATGATCTTCTACTTAATTAGTATGCTGATTCTCATATCACTGTGGGGAATGTTATCACTTATCAAAATCACCCGTAAGAGTCCTGCACCGTGCAAAATGCATACTCTATCAATGTACCTCGAGAACATGTCCAGCTACATTCCTTGAATCCGACTCGGTGGGTTAGTAATCACATTGTGCATTGCAGTATTGGCAGGAACGAATGCGGTGGATGCATGTCAACATGAGTTTACTCGATATGGCACCAATATTGTATGCAATCAAAACAATATCTGCAACTTGGAGCTTAGCAGAGAACTCTTGTTCAACAGGATCCAGAACGAGCATTGCATTGAAATCCGCCACCAGAACAAAACGGTCGGTCTGCTCAAGATAAAATTAAGAGCCTCTAGTCTAATCTGCTCCAAAGAATCGATAACGTACACCAGAAGTACGATTCACCGAGTGTACTCAGCAGTCAGGTGCTCCCAAGCAGGCTCCTGCTACGGAAATATATGCGACACGATCAGTCGTAACGATACTGTTCCGGAGCTGTCGCATGCAAGAGACTTTCCAGGATACATTGTTTGTCAATACACTTGCGGAGGGATGAGTTGCGGCTGCCTCCTGCCATCCCCCTCCTGCACCTTCTATAAGGTCGCCCATATACCCGTGTCCGGAACGGTGCATGAAATTATACGATGCAGTGAATGGACACCATCACTGCACATCGAAGTGGAGAGTAGCTTGTCAAAAGTAACCCGAAAAGAGGGCATCGTCTTGACTCCGTACATAACGGCCAAATTGCGAGAATTCAATATCACTGCCACATCTGTACACAATTCGCACCTACCAGTGCTGAACAGAAGGTTCGCACTGTCAAGCGACACCTCATCATTCTTCCTGACGACTTCAGGCTGCCGGTCGAATGTGCGACGCGGAATGAAGCAATGAACAACTTCAGAATTGCGTTAACAAAATTATTTGCAATTGCAACACAGGCTGGACCAAGCATCATTGCCACTGTCCAGATTACTCTTTGCGTACTGTAGAAGATGACAGCAGTAATCGATTACCCCTACTGGCCCCCTCCATAGAAATACGTTCCAATGGCTCGGCGCTGTCAGCCCTAGTCAAGGACATTGAGACGATTGTGACAGTCCAGTCCAACATCTTGCTCGACAGCGCTGAATTTGTCTACGAAGAAAAATATGACATCAGAATGAGCAACATAGCTGGGTGTTACAGTTGTCTACCAGGGGCCAACATAAATGTGACATGCTTGTCGAAACACCCTACAGAGATCACTATTTCATGCGACGAGATCTCATTTTCTGTCCAATGTGGTCCGACGAAGCCGTCAACCATGATGTTGCTGCATCTCGATTCCGCAGTAGTTCAGCGAAAGTGCCATACAAGCTGTGGCGACCGAAAATGGGTCCTGCCATTGAATGGAACGCTGTTCTACCACCACCCCAGACATGATTCCGTGTTCAAGTTTAACGAAGAAGACCAAAAATCCATGAGCTGGTTGGACACGATCTATGATATACATGTACCTGACCTCCATCCACTGACTATGGTCATACAGCACCACTGGAAAGCCTTTTGGCCGCTGGAGTTGCTGCACTTGCAGCAGCAGGCCTCACCTATCTATTTGGGCCAATAGTTATCCTCACTGTGATAAAATTGGTTTTTGGTGCAATTGCGTACCTACTATGTGCCCTGCTGAAGGTGGCCAAAGCGCTCGTGCAATGCGCTATACAGACTTGTAGAAATCAATAATTATATTTATAAGCTCCTGCAAGACGAAGGCGGTCGGTTCGATGTGCAACGCGGCTGCGACATGGCTGCGTCACAGCCGCGTCACAGGCGCGTCACAGCCACGTCGCACATCAAACCGACCGCCTTCGTCCTGCAGGAGCTTATACTTTAGCTTTGGTCTTCATCGGGTGCAACATCCTTCACGCTGGTCAGGATCAAACAAGTTAACGCCACGTCATCGTCCCTAGATGTCTTTCTCACCCCCTGATCTACTGTCATCCACCCGCTCGATCGCTGGACCCCAACGACAAGGATTGGATCAACAAAATCGCTGTATTTTATTCACTCCTGCTATTCTTCTCCGGTTTGTTAACGTTTGAATTTGTTTATGTTTATGTGTTTATATGTCTATATTTCTTACATTCTCCTTTCGCTGTACCATCGTTTTGCCTACATTGCTGTCGCCCCGGAGTGTGCCGATATTGTCGGCACCCCGTTTCATCCATATCGCTTCTTGCATGTTATTCGCGTAAACACCGTTAAGGTCACCATTTGGTGACCTAATATGATATAAGCGCGCATAGCGTTTGGCTCCGCCTGTTATCACCATATAATTCTACCACTGCACCACCGCGTGCGGTTGAGATCTTAATAAACTCTAATTATACTTTGTCGTGTTACTTACATTTCGTACGGGCCCACCCTTAGCCCAATTCTCAAAAGGCGCCACCCTTACGCCTAAAAGTCGCCACAGCAGTCAGCTGCAGTCTGCTGCAGTCTGCTGCGGTCAGTGCAGACTGCTGCAGTCAGTGCGGCAGTATGAAACAACCCTTAGCACTGAAGTTATGAAAGGCACAAGATTTGGGAATTGTACCACACCAATTGTACGAACAACGAATCAACGATACGTGTGGCAGTTTTGACAATGTTTTCGAAAAGCAATTTCCTTAGCATGGTTCACTCCAGTGCTGCGCTTTATTTCAACCCGGAGTAGGCACATTTGACGTGGAGCAGCGCCTCTGCGCTGGCTTGTGAGCTCACGGCGTTGGCATTTTGCCAAGCAAAGACTGAGGTGAATGAAGAGTCGCAAACATGGTTCTTAATACGATGTGGGACGCTGTAGCTGCTAAACGGCGCGAACCGTTGCGAGGCGAGCGCCGCCGGTCTTTCTCGCCTAAACTGGGATAACACTTACAATTCGCGTCAATCACATGTTCCCTTTCCCGTAAGCGCAATGAGCTTTGAGTCCACATTTGCGCATGTATGGCTCTAGTTTCCATGCAAAAGGTAGCACGTAATTGACATTGACTGCACTGTAACGCGGATAACTCTTCCTCCAAAGGAGCTCTGCAGATAAGGAAAGCAGATTCAAAATGAGCTTTTCAAACACTCTAAGGCTCTGGCCATACTTTGCCCGTGTTGCCGGTGTTGAAAGTGGTGTTGAAAGTGTTGAAAGTGTTGCTGGTGTTGAAAGTGTTGAACGGAGATCATCAGTCTAGCAGTTTCATTCTTTCTCGAACGATCTTACCGGCTGGTGAATGCGTCTGGAGTGGAATTGGGGAATGAGAAATGAAACTGAAATGAGATGGGGAATGTTTTCGCATGCAAAAGATCCTCAAACAAACTTTTTGAAAAGTGGACGGCTTGTCTGGAATAGGCAATCTCCAATATTTGAAAACGCTGCAGACCTCACTTAGGTCCTTTACTCACTAATCGCAAGCGCAGCAGGATTCGAACTAAAACACATTACTACTCAGACGTCAGCTTTCCCAAATATTGGAGATTGCCTATTCCAGACAAGCCGTCCACTTTCCAAAAAGTTTGTTTGAGGATCTTTTGCATGCGAAAATCTCCCCCATCTCATTTTCAAGTTCATTTCTCATTCCCCAATTCCATTTCCAATATATTCACCAGCCGGTGAGATCGTTCGAGAAAGAATGAAACTGCTAGACTGATGATCTCCGTTCAACACTTTCAACACCGGCAACACTTTCAACACTTTCAACACCGGTAACACTTTCAACACTCACTTTCAACACTTTCAACACCGGCAACACGGGCGAAGTATGGCCAAAGCCTAAGATAGTACAAACCTCATCTCAACGGGCAGTTCAACTAATCATCCTTGCAAGATGGATGTTTCTTTTTGTGGCCAATCAAATTGAGATGTCTCGTCAATTCGTTTCGACCACACGGACTACTCAAACGCTGCGGACCGTGCGCGGCGCGGCTGAATTGTCGAGGGAGCACGACTTGTACAATGGCGAATTTGTACTGGAACAAGCGTCTTCGCGACGCGTTCTCCGCAGCAATGTCCAGTCCGTGCGGTCAACGAATCAACTATATTTGGTTTGATCTAGCTATGTAAGCATAATAGAAATCAAAGTCAATTGCAAAGATGGAGTTTTGATCGTCTTCAAAGATGAAGCACACTGTATCGGCTACACTTCGCAAATAGAGAGCACCGCTTGTTACGTAAATTTAGTGGGCAAAGATGAGTTAACTTTGCCATACGTAACACTGCGTAAGCTAATTTTTTTTCAAAGCAATGAGCGGTCTGTTCATATAATAATGACCAGTGTAAAGTTTTTTAACACAAAATAATCCGCCTTATGGATCAACAATCACAGAGTTTGTGGGGAATTCTTTGAACCAATGAATAATAGCGTGCATGACGTCTTGTACAACGCTGTTCGTAAACCAAGATGATCAGAGAAACTCGCTTATTTGCCAAACTCATGCTTGGAACTGCAGTATATAAGAAAGCGGGGTTTTGCAAAACTCCGTTGTATTCGTATTCGCATTTAACGCTGAGAAGTATTCTGTGAAAAATGGACTTTTTGCCGTACATGTTTCTACTCCTTTCCATTCTTGGAATAATAAGCCTGGGTGAAGCAGGCTGTCGTCCTCCACCTTGCAGACAAATCTGTAAAACAGAGAGAGTCAGGGTAGGCACGCTCAAAAATTCAAAGCAATACTAAGTTTCTCACAAAATCATGATTGTTATAAGAAAAATATGAGAAAACTTTTCTTCCACGTCTCTTTTGTGAGTAAGATATTTACATTTCGAAATCATTATTGAGCTGAAGTGCTTATTCACGCAATTGCAAGAGGAAAATCTCTGCTATGTCTTCAGGTATGCAGAATGGTACCAAAACGGGTTTGTAAGAAGAACTGTCCAATCCGTCGCGGCTGCAGGCGCCCCACTCGAAGTGCTTTTGTAGAGGAGTGAACATCTGCGGACTACTCTCCTATCATCATCATGCACCATCATCTCTTGCATGTTTCAAATCTCAAGACCAAACTCTTGAAATGAATACTTCTGTTTGGCTCTATTTGACACGTTGAATAAACCGTTAAATAAATTTGCTATCGTGACGGACCAGACGCTAGACCGTGACATTGCCCAAAATGACCTTCAGGCTATCGCTCGAGGCAGAAAGAATTTCGTTTTCAGTGCAAACGGGTGAACTGCACGGAACTTTCAAATGGCAAGCAAGCTGGTATAGAAGGGTGCCACAGTCGGCTCAAGATTGAAGATCCAATCTGCGTTTGGGAAAGTTCCGCTGGGTCGCCTGCAGAAGCTCCGTAAACATGCTGCGGAGGTTCCGAAGAATGCGAACAACAACAGCAAAAGAGAACACCTAAGCGGGATTAGAACTTTATTGGCTGTGAGACTCACTTCGCTATCCTCTGCACGAATGACATGTTCGACAATGCACTCTAGTTGTTGGCGAGGCAACATCGTAAAAGACAACACATTCGGAAACCTGCGGAAGTACTGGCATGTCGAAGTGCTGCACTTGGAAGTTCCGCAGCGCTTTGTAAGAAGTCCTGCGAGAGTTCTGATTTTCAACCAATTGAAAATCCTGCGGAAGTTCCCATTTTCAACATTTCCACTTTTGCAATGGTAAACAATCCTGCGAAACCTCTGCGAGTTGTGCTTGTCCTGCGGGAGTCCCAGTGAATTCTCTGAGTAGTATATACAATGAATTTATGAAACACCTGCTTGCTGTTGCGGTGTATTTGTTACCACAATAAAAGGTCATTTAAAATTAGTGATCGCTGTACAGAAACGTGCTGCCTTAATATGTGATGCTGTCATTGGAAAAGATTTGGTGCTTGATTTGATTTTGTGCTCTACATTTTCACAAAGTACAGAGTATTCTGCTGTTTTGACAGAAAGTGCATTACATTTGAGCTGTGCAGCTCGTGCAATGCAATTCAGACACGTATCAGTGTGCCAGAGTAGAAAATAGAGAATGTAGGAAAAGTCACGAGGCATATAAAAGAATGTGAAGCGACATGAATCAAAGCGGATATCATTTGCCACGCTATGACACATTTGTGCATAAACCTTATCGTAAGTCTCAAACCTTCCAATCAGATGTTACGAAGAGAGATGAATTTTGCAGATGCTTCTCTTCCTACTCATTATTGTTTTTGCTAAGGAAAAGCGTACTTGTCCTGAGCACCTGATGACAAATTTCGAAGAAGTTATAGCACCCTTTTTTGAGGGGCTCTTACAAGCAAGACTGGTTAGGTCACCTTGTTACAATTGAAAAACGATATCGCATAAGAAAAGTTTGCAAAATTGAAGATACTTTTTCCAAAAAAATTTACATGGTTGCTAACATTTATCATAAAAAAATAATTTACCATTTCAGAAATACAGTTGCGATCCTGAAGATATCGCTCGCGGAATTGTCAGGAAGGAGAAACTGGTATGTCAGTCAAGCAATCCCAGCTACACTGCCATCTGCTACTGCTTTATGGGGTATGCTTTTGCTGCCGTGAAAAAAAAACTTTTTTTTCTATCTTGCAGTGATCCCGATGATGACGAGCAAATTGCAGAATTTTACGTGGTAAATCGTGCCGCCAATATAAGCAAGGTAGAATAATTTCCGTAGAGACATGAAATAAATTTCGTGGAGCAACCGTAAACACCTTTTAAAAGAACAATGACTCAGACACGGAGAATTCCCATTTTGAGTTGTGAGAATTTCCGACAAGTCAACCCATGCGAGATTCGTTTGAGATTTAGTGTGGAGATCAATGTTCGCACTTAATGTTGACACTTTTTCAGCCTTATTGTTAAGCGTTGTGGGCCTCGAGTGTTTGAGATAGAGCACTTCCCTACTATACTTGGGACCGAATGGAATGATTATTCAATTATTCGAATAAATCATTCGAATGCGAATGATTCGAAAAGTCGAACATTCGAAAATCTCAACTTTCGAATACTATTCGAAAGTCGAATATTCGATGGTCTTCAATTCGATCATTCTATGGTCACCGAATATTCGAATTATTTGATGAACATCGAAAATTCGAATATTCGATGACCGTCGGATGGAACCAGAGCCCGGCGCAGATCGTATGGAAGCAAGCTGGACTTCGTTTTGTTGGGCAAAAAGCAAAGGGGATATCGTTTTTGAGGCCAAAGATTGCGACGTTTTTTAGTCGGCGTTCCGTTTTTTGAGGGTTTTTTACGTTTAGGGCTGAGAGTCAAAGGGAATTCGTAAAATTTCGCGAAAGTTAGGGGGACTTCGTTTACAGAAGCCTAAAGACGAATTTATGTTGGGCTCTGGATGGGACTCCATAATCATAGCACGTCACTGTAGGAGTTTCTATAAAGCTACAACCCTTAATGGGGAGTGTTTATGTTTTCTGGTCCTGATGGTAGTCTGTACAGTAATCGTGATGCACCATTTCTGTCGCAAAATGTAGCTGCTATCGTTTTTTCGCTATTCAGGGACGCCAGGATTCTGACAGTTCTCTCCAACAGTTTCTTTCACTTTCTTCATGAGAGTCATTAAGTAAATTTTTAAACTTAAATTTAGACTTTAAACTTTTAGACCCACCGTAACACGGCTTTACGACCCCAAAGTGAAAAAGTGAAAAATGAGTACCGTATTCGTGATCAGCAGGGTAAAGCGGGGGGTGCGGCACGCCGCAGGGGGGGGGGGGGGGGTCGTTAGGAGGGGGTAGGTAGGGGGGGGGGTCGTATCGACCCAAGGTCAAAAGCACTTGTACAAGCTGTGTGACTAAATTGACTTGATGAAAGCGCTGCTGAAATCCTGCAAAATTCAAGTTCAACGACACAAACTTGCAGATACCGTATGCCTACCGTAACCTACCGTACCTCTAATCAAGCAAAATTGTCGTAATCCGCGTGTCGGATAACCCCTATGCGCCAAGTTTCAGCGAACTCTGAGGTCTCCGAGCAGTAGACAACCTTGTATGAAGCAATAATTTAAAACATGATTAACTTCATCTTAAGGGTGAGTAAGCTACCTCTTCTTGCACTCAGTACAAAGCACTACTCCTTCTTTGTCCACCTCAGGAATCTCGCTTCAGAAGACCTGCAAACTGTGGAATTAGAAGCCAACCAAAATCTCGTTTTTCCCATTTTTCGCTTTTGATCGCTGTGCTTTCACCAAATATTACTCAGAGCTAAGAAGACGAATCAGGCTCAAAACATCCCTATGGAATCTACGAGGTTTAGGCTATTGAATCATATAAATATTGTCCGCTAAAAATGTTTTTTGATATAGTTAATGGCCTGCGGCACCCCCCCCCCCCTCAAAACCTGCGGCTGCCGCAGGTTTTGAGGGGGGGGGGGGTGCCGCAGGCCATTAACTATATCAAAAAAACATTTTTAGCGGACAGTGTTTATATGGATCGATAGCCTAGATCACCTAGTTTTCACAGGAGTGATCTTGAATCTTCAGAATTTGCTCAAACTTTGTCTACAGGGGTTAATTGACATGCTCATTATGGATATGTTGCCCATTATGTTTGACAGGGCCTCCAAGTAATGCTATCTTAAGGGTATAGTCCAGGGGGGGGTCTTATTAAGACAGCAATCAGGGGGGGGGTCGTAACCAGCGATCGTGTGCCACACCCCTTGCTTGACCCTGGTGATCAGCGCACCGGATAACCCCCTAGACAAGGTTTTGAAGATTTCGAAATTTTGGATACCGGCGCACCACGATACCTCCCCCCCCCCCCCCATCAAGCCTGCTGGAAGTACGAGCAAAATATACTCCGAAGGACTTTTCAGCTGTCCCTCTTCTTTTGTACACTATTTCTCTTTCTCTGACCAAATGAGTTATCTCTGAGTTCCACATGGAATGTAACGCGCACCAAACTCAATCGCAAAGCACAGCTGCTTGGTGCTGTTTCTTGTGCGGAACGATTTCGACGATGTTTTCCTATTAGGAGTAAACTACCGTTTACGGAGACCTGCCATATCATCGCTTTCTACATTTGGTCCATTCAAGCACTTGTTGAGGGGGTTTGAAAGGTGCGCGTTAGCTCATATACAACTCAGAGTTAGGTCAGAGTAACTGTGAGTCTCGACCAGATTACTACCAACCCTGGAATTTCTTGATGTACAACTTTTGAGTGCCTTTCAAAAAGCAATAAACCTTAAAAATTGACTCGTTGACTTGACTTTTGTTAATGAGCCTGAGGTCTAGTGCACGCTGTTCTTCATTCGCATTCGGAAAAGGTGCTAGATGTGATCGTAAACGTGAAGATGTTTGTGGTGTCGTAGCAGCGTTATCTCCACTCCACATCGTAGATTGAGGGCATATTCAAGGTAATTGCAACAGTGACGGGAAGGACTAGTGTTGGGTCCAAAAGTTCGTGTTGTTTTGAGAACAGGGATATAATAGAATAAGTCATTGTATAGTATTACCAGCAGCGGTCTAGCTTATCGCACTGCCAAGGAGAGGAAGGTTGCTTATTGCCATGAGTGTCGATTGGATGTGTGTATAGCACTTATACAGTTCAAAAATATGTATACTATGTGTGTATCGTGGAGTTGTCAACGGCATGGGTTGGATGTAGAGTCCGCGCAGCGCGCTGATTGTGGGATATATCGTCGACTCTAAAAATCGTGACGACGGTCTGCAGTGCGGCCAGTGCGCGCCGCACGGCACTGCCGCTTTATCGTAGGGCAATCTTGCTTCTCTGCAGTGTAGGCTCCCTGCGGTAGCCATGAAAGTTCCTGCAAGCAAAAAAGATGCAAAAAGAAGAAGAAAAACCACAAGAACTCACCTTCTCCACGTAATTTGGGCGAATCACTAGGTGGCAGTGCCGTGCGGCGCGCACTGGCCGCACTGCAGACCGTCGTAACGATTTTTAGAGTCGACGATACTTCATACACCGCAGAGTGGTAGTCGCATAAAAGGGAACTACAAAAACCCACAGCAGGGCCCGGCAGGAGGTGGCATTTCAGAATTTTGAAAACGATATCCCCTTTGAAGCCAAAATTTCTTACGACTTTCCCTTTGGCCCTATTTTTAACCCCCGTAAGTCCCTGACAAACAAATATACACAAATAATAAGATGGGCGGCCTCAGCGCTTATTATAGTACCCTATTTTCAGGTGTATAAGCCGCACCCTTTTTGCTCTAGACGCGAGCAGACCCAGGCGTGCCGCCGCGCCTACCTCTCGCGAAGCGGTTGCCTTATCGCATACTGCTCTCACTTAACGCGCTCCATGATGACAGTCAGTCTTTTGGTGTGTTCGCCTTTAGAGTGAAAAGGGTGCGGCTTATACACCTGAAAATAGGGTAGTACTACCTGGCTTTCCTGGTCCAGCCCGGGTCATCAAGGCTTCAGCTCAATAGGTTCATCCGCAAAGGGATCTATAAAAAAACATAGGGGCAAGATCTGCACAAACTTTGACGTTTATATATCTAAGATACTACTCCATTATTAGTCAGCTGCGAAACTTTACAATTTACAATAACCGATTGCGATTGGAGCGCGCTTTCCGAGGCCGATCATAAAGCTGTGAACCCTATTTGGGGCTGTATCGAAGCGGTGCCTTGGTGGTTTTGGAAGCGGATTTGAACATATAGTAACACTCTCGACCTAGTCCACATTTATGTAAAGAAATCCGGGAAATTATGTGAAGGGAAGCAGGGAGCCACCCCAGGTGGCTCCCAGGTGGCGCGGGAGCCACCTAATTTCGAAAAACACCATTTTTTAAATTCACTGAGTTTCTCATAATTCTTCATACTTCTTTTGTGCTCATGGTCCTCCAACTACACAGCAAATTTGGTGCCATATCGTTACTTATGCATTGAAAACGAGCCTATTTTGTTATTTTCCTCTTGCAAGAATTGCGATTTGAATTCCCGCCTGCGGGCAGGCTAACGATCGGAGCACAGAATCTTCCCATTGCTGGAATCTAAGTTCATAGGACAGTAGCATCAACAAGGAATGATGAATAAAGAATGATATGTGCATTATGTTGAAAGTCCTCCATTCTTGTAACCTGGGCATTCTAGTATAACTTCAGTTAATCTTCTTTGCCGTACAGGTTTTTAACAATGATACACTTTATTGCCTGACGTTTCGGTTACACACCGTCTTCAGAGGCTTGGAAAGGTGTCATTCACTTTGATACCACTCTACCTTGCTGCCAAGCCCTTCTCCCATCTGCGTACTCGATTCATCTAGGATGAAGATCGAGAGGCTGGGCGTAGAAATCGACCCACCGAGTGTATCACTGGTAGCAGTGTTTATCTGCTTCAGAACTTGCTCGATGGACTGCAGTGACGAAATGAGCAGTCGGAACAATGTGAGGCTGTTTAAGTATAGATCAGCTATCTCACAGTTCGCATAACGAAAGATACGGTAGTAGATCACTTGTGATAGACAGCTTTTCATTCTTGCCGTTCATCTTCGGATCCCGGGCAAGTATATAGGACGCCTCTAAAGCCTTTCGGGAAGAGATTTGATCTTCGTAGGCTAATATTTTGCACTTGATTTCAAAATCATCACCGCTATGTTCTACTTTCCTATGTTTACCTAGTGGGCTTATTATGCTCTGACGTTTCTTACTAGTTAGGTGTTCATTTATCCTTACGCTTAGTGGCCGACCGGTTTCACCGATATAAATGGAGGAGCAGCTCATGCATTCGATTTGGTAAACGACTCCAGTTTTTGCGCAGTCACCGGGTTTTCCGTAAGGGCACACTACGCAATCTCGTGTAGTACAAGTTCTGTCGTAAAGCCTATTGCGCACCAGCTGTTTCTTGAGGTTATCTCGTGGAATATTCACCAAGAGAACGTCCTTTTGCAGCTGTGCTTGTACTAGACATTGCTTGATTTCTGCGGTGACCCTTTCGGAGATGAAAGGCAAGCACAGAGCTATCTTGTTGGTAGTCTGCTCACTTGTCTTTGTCGTGACTCTTTTTGGGCGTTTAAAGTGCATCGTATAACCATTTGAATTCATTACTTTAGCTGCAATTTCCAGTGACTCTTCTCTTTCAGTTTTGCCACTACAGATATTCTTTGCCGTTTCAAACATGTTGTGTTGACAGCTCGTTTGACGGCTATCGGATGCGCGGATTTGGCGTGCAGAATGATGTTCTTGTTACTCTCTTTGCGGTACCACTTGATGCGCACCGAACCGCTAGCCACCATCAATTGTGTGTTTAAGAACGGAAGCCAACCGTCTCGTGGTCTTTCTCTTGTTAGGCTTATGTATTGCGATTGTTGATTGAGTAGTCTGAAACACTCGTCCATTTCGGACTGTGTTGAAGTAACAATACAACAATCGTCAATATATCTGCAATACATAAGCGGGCTCCTGGCTAGCACGGGTTGTTCTATTTTGCTCATGAAGCAAAATAGAAAAAAACACGATGCACTTTAAACGCCCAAAAAGAGTCACGACAAAGACAAGTGAGCAGACTACCAACAAGATAGCTCTGTGCTTGCCTTTCATCTCCGAAAGGGTCACCGCAGAAATCAAGCAATGTCTAGTACAAGCACAGCTGCAAAAGGACGTTCTCTTGGTGAATATTCCACGAGATAACCTCAAGAAACAGCTGGTGCGCAATAGGCTTTACGACAGAACTTGTACTACACGAGATTGCGTAGTGTGCCCTTACGGAAAACCCGGTGACTGCGCAAAAACTGGAGTCGTTTACCAAATCGAATGCATGAGCTGCTCCTCCATTTATATCGGTGAAACCGGTCGGCCACTAAGCGTAAGGATAAATGAACACCTAACTAGTAAGAAACGTCAGAGCATAATAAGCCCACTAGGTAAACATAGGAAAGTAGAACATAGCGGTGATGATTTTGAAATCAAGTGCAAAATATTAGCCTACGAAGATCAAATCTCTTCCCGAAAGGCTTTAGAGGCGTCCTATATACTTGCCCGGGATCCGAAGATGAACGGCAAGAATGAAAAGCTGTCTATCACAAGTGATCTACTACCGTATCTTTCGTTATGCGAACTGTGAGATAGCTGATCTATACTTAAACAGCCTCACATTGTTCCGACTGCTCATTTCGTCACTGCAGTCCATCGAGCAAGTTCTGAAGCAGATAAACACTGCTACCAGTGATACACTCGGTGGGTCGATTTCTACGCCCAGCCTCTCGATCTTCATCCTAGATGAATCGAGTACGCAGATGGGAGAAGGGCTTGGCAGCAAGTAGAGTGGTATCAAAGTGAATGACACCTTTCCAAGCCTCTGAAGACGGTGTGTAACCGAAACGTCAGGCAATAAAGTGTATCATTGTTAAAAACCTGTACGGCAAAGAAGATTAACTGAAGATATGTGCATTGTTTATCGGTAAACAAAGGGGAAGTCGTAGTTTGGGGTCTCCCCTTTGCTTTTTCGGGCAAAAAACGATATCCAGCTTGTGAAAGCGCCACCCCCGCCGGGCCCTGACCCACAGCAGTAAACTATGCGATTGGTCATGTTATCATATTATATAGACATTCAATTTTTCGAATGATATTCGAAAGTCGAATGATATTTGATATTCGAATATTCGAAATTTTCGTTTTTCGAATATTATTCGATAGTCGAATATTCGAAATTTTCGATTTTCGAATATTATTCGATAATCGAATACTCGAACTTTTCAATTTTCGAACATATTCGATATTTGAATATTCGAAACAGATTTCGAATTTCCCCGAGTATATTCCCTACCTCGGGCGGAGAGTCTATCTGGCCCTACAATTTATTTTGCTGCAATTTGTTTCATATATTCGCTTGCGCTTCCCTCCACTCTTCACGGAAGTACAAACAAATTATTTTTTTTTCGCGGCTCGTACAAGCTCCGGCTCGGACCTAAGCCCATAGTTTGATTGTTTTTACGATTTGTGAGCTTAAAGGCAGTGGACAGGCAGAATGAACCCCTGTCAGATTTTGGTAGTTTCGGGTAGTAGACCCCCCAAGTACATCACAGCCCCAAGCCCACCTTCCAATTCATGCGCTCAGTCTTGAAAAAGCGCTTCGAAATTCCACCAATAACGTGCACTCAATGGAAATGGGCGGAGCTGGTGGAGTTTTGAAGCGCTTTTTTCAAGACTTAGCGCATGAATTGGAAGGTGGGCTTGGGGCTATGATGTACTTGGAGGTCTACTACCCGAAACTTCCAAAATCTGACAGGGGTCCATTCTGCCTGTCCACTGCCTTTAAACCGCCGCTACGAACTGCTTCTTTTGAAAAACAATTGAATATAACATGCAAAGGAACTGTACACATCAACACATCGCATGATGTACAATCGATGTCAACAGCATGCTCGTTTTACGTAGCAGCTACGTGTACGCAGCGCAAGGGCCTAGCGCAGCTACCCGGATCCATGAGGCGAGTTTTGAATGCGAAACTGTATGCGAGCAAATGCGGCGCGAGGCTCTGGAGTTGCGATTTGGCTGGTGGAAAAGGGAACAAATTGTTGACACGGACTGTAGGCGATTCATCGCACGCAGAAACTGGACGTTGCGTTTGGTTGGAATAGTCCGTGTTTAAAAGAGACAGCAGAAAATTAGAAGATGAAAATGCGTTTCATCTGACGGTGAGAGATGCCGCCGGCGTCCGCAACGACGCTGTGTCACTGCGTGCGATGAATAATCTATACACGATGGAGGTCAATGGGTAAAAGACCATAACATTTGAAATAGCCATAATAAAGTGAAAAATTATCCGTTGCCAATAGGGCTCAAGCATAGAGTGCAATTGCAATAGCTTAACTGAACACCCTCAGCCTAGATCACAGAAAATTTGGGACAATTAACTTCGAATTTATTGACTAAAATGCATTTCCACTCACCCGATTTTTTCATTTCTAATGAATTTTCCAGCTACAAAAACAGAGAAAGAGGGTGAGCCATTGTCGTCTACAATATGGATGCAACGTTCAGTATACGTCACACTCGGGCTACACATGTGTTGCGTGTGTTTTCTCTAAGGAATGCTTACCCACTACAAGAAGACCCAGGGAGATTGACTACTGATTTCCGCAAACATCAAAAGATTTTGATCTTGAAGCCGCCACCGTACCCCATCTCGATGCCGCCAATTGTTGTTCTTGATCATTTCCTACTTCTCCGCTACTTTCCTCCTTCACTGTTCACTTCTCCTTCGTGCTTGATTTGCCTGGAGTTTTGTACAGCCCCAGTGGCTTTTATGCTGCTCGTCTTGCCCTAGGGTAGTCACTTATTGACATTTCAGTCATCAGCTGGCATTTCCATCAAATACGATCCGCTTTGAAAAGCTGAGTAATATGCTTCTTTCGGATCCATATTTCAAGCAACTTGAAGGTAGTTATGATGAAAAACGGAAAAAAACGCTGATTGTCAGTTTTTGCGTTTGCTGTCGAGTAATTAGTGTGGGTACTGCATGTTCCCACCATAACTGTTTGTATTTGTAATTCAACAAGGTCATATTCCAATTCATTGTTATCCTTTCATAACTTTTCGGAATTCTGTGCTATAAAGATTCAGAATGGACTATGTTTGCGTACGTCATCTACAATTATCAAAATCAAAAAGCCGACAGCAAAAATTTATGCAAGGTACCGAGTTGATATGCAGGGCAGTGGCGACAAGATCAGGAGATTAATACCGTCCTAGATAGCTCATTTCAGTGTGGCACTAACTGTGGCAAATCCGCTCCTTCATTAGCTATAAATGGAATCTCTCCTTCAGCTCGTGTCAGATTGTACAGCGCCGCAGTTCCCAAGATGATACGCGCAACCTTAGAAGATAGTCTGGAAAAAGCCTTATGAGCTGGATATTGAACGCGAAACTGATCAGGAGAGGAGAAACATCAAAACCAACGCTATTTCACTAGTTAGAATGGGAAATTGAGATTTCCAGTTTGCAATGGTCTCTTCAACGATTTGATGTACACTGCGTAGTGCATCAGCCAAAGGATCTCCTGGGCAAGAAATAATAAAATTGTGGAACAGTACTAATCTCTTAACTACCTTCTTCACAGCTTCCACTTGGAGTCAACAAAAAAGACTCGGGTTTGTAATCATCATCTCCTATAAGATAACCCATCTTCGTGCCGTTCCTGAATTGCGCGCACAGCAAGCTTCGTTTGAAGGCTGTTTCGTCATCCATTTTAGAATTCGCCACTACCCAGCGGAACTTCTTATGATAGTCCACTACTACTGCGACATTTATCGCTTTTCCTTTGCTAAAATCATATCATGTTATCTAACTAATTTTGGAAAAAAACACAATGTGACCTGCTTTGTTTGAAAACATTGGTTCCATCTAGACAGCCCACTACTCCTCGCAAGCCTGTTACTTCGAAAAATCTGGAAGAAATGGAAATTGAGGGCAAAGGCGTGTATTTTTGCCGAGATTCGTCGTAATATTTCCTACGGATACTGCTGTCACCAATGTTGTCGTTGTTACCAATGCTATCAATTTTAACACCGTCTAATGCCGTCTGGCTCATTTCTGATTTGTTTTCCTATTCCATTGTCATAATATGTTTACTTCTAAGGCAGGTAAGCATCTCTTTCAAAACTATAAGAAATGGTTCAGCCCTATTGCATCATGTTTCACATCATGACAATTTTATGAACTAACACTTCGTTTAGCGCGATATAGAATGCATACAATAAATGCAAAATTATTAGTAAACTCATCATTTTGTTTCCTGCAAATACTAGGTTGTGTAATAATTTCGCTCGCATTTTTTGGTTTGATTTTTTCTCGATATTTTGTTAGACATTTGCCAAAATGTTAGTCCGAAAACATGTATCGTTCGGGAGCTCTAAGTTCGCTCTATCAAACTCCAATTATTATATTTTCACCCAAAAAGTTGAACAAAAAGTCTAAGAAGGCAAAAATCCCATATTCGACATTTTTTTCCTTCTCAATTTTCCTATTATTCATTCTTGAAATTCATTCAAAAGCTTGACAACAACAACAAAAACTGATAATCAATTACGCACTTATTGAAAATGTTTATTATTGCTCGTTTCTTTTCACCGACCGTTTAGAGGCACCGTCCACCCAGGTTTTCGATTTCCACGTTTTCGTCGTTTCAGGGCCTTCTCATGTTCCTGATTCCGAATATAAAGTCGAGAATGCTCGAAAACCCCGACAATCCCCGTTCCGGAGAACTCACAGGCCAACCTTCCGGAAAGGTGATTGGACGGGCGCGCATAAATGGGCGGGCATGGATGGGGGTCCTCGTGCATCTTCATTATTCCGAAGCGATTTTCTCCCCTCCGAAGCTGCGTTTTGCGCCGCGACTTGGGCAGTGCATTGATAAAGAGCCCTGCTGTTATATACTGCCAAAAACTCAACACCCTCAACTTAGGGTGGATGGTGCCTTCAATGTAACTTTTCAAAAGTCGGCGTAGCAATCTGGGCTGTGCGTCCCCTCAATTTCCGAATTTTATGTAACCCATTTTTGACTATATAACCCACTTATTCGATGATTTAGCGAACATAAACCAAAATCTCTGTCAATTCCTGGATTGTTCGACTACACCATTCTTCAGAAGTGCCTTTAGCTGCTCAACGTTGACGCCGAAGATGAAAAAATGTAGCCATCTTTGAGCTTACAATATAAATTTAGTTATAGCACCTATAAATTATCTGTGGAAGCTACAGTACTCTATTCATAACGTTGAAAAACTTCTGAGTTGTTTCTTAAGCGTGCAAACTCATTCGAGACACAGCGTAACATAGTTGTCGAAAATGGGATTTTTGCTCTCTAGGATTTTCGGTTTGTGGTCTAATTTTTTATTCAGTTCCCCAAAACTGGGAATATAATGGTGGTAGTTTGGTAGAGCAGACTTACAGCTTCCGCATGCATACAAACACTTTACCAAATGCTTTGATACTGTGGAAAAATTAAAACGAAAAATGCGCACGAACTTATTACACCACCTAATGCCTCGAAAAGCGCGCAAAGACAACAGAAACAAGGTGAGAGTTGAAGAGAAAATGAAAGTGATACTGAGACCATTCAAACGGTAGCAGCTGTCAAAGGAAATTGAATCTCAGTGCAGTACTACACTCTGTCTCATATGGAGTGGGCCCAACTCGAGCGGCTCAACCAGCGTGACCGCCCTGCTTGAACCCTACACCTCGTTCGCTGTGTCATTTGACCATCTATGCGCGAGCGTGGGGGAGGCTCATAAGCGAGCTTCAATCGCTAATCAGGCGTGGGAAAATGATCAGTGAGCACGTTCTCGACAAAGTGTAGAGCTCAAGCGAGGCGTCGACAGAACGAGCCGCTCGAGTTGGGCTCAATTCAGATGAGACAGAGGGCATGATGAGCGGAGTTTGAATGAGCACTGTTAGTGTATTTTGGGGACACTTGCAAGTTGTCATGAGATACAACAATGGACCTACTTCTCTGAAATGTTGCTCTTCTCGACAGGTGTAGGCCACAAAATGACAGTTCCTGACCATGAAGATAAAGCATCCAGCACTTGATTGAAGATTTCCGTGACAACGGAACCCATGAAAGTTCCATTCAGAACTTTGGTGTTACCAGCTAGGATCTCCAAGGCCGTGCCAACTTTGACAGGCGTAGGACTTTTTGTAGACGCAGGACTGCGCCTTTTCAGATGCGGGTCCAGAGCCGCACACACTTTGTTGAAGGAACTTCGTGACATTCGAAATCGGTGCCGAAATCGCTCGTCAGACAGTGTATCCACATCAGCCATGCCATACTCGATTGCACGGATACAAGCCGCTGTCGCGCTTGTAGGCTCACATTTATCTATGCTACAAATAAGAAAAGTAGATGAGGAGATTTACAGGAGCATACAATGAGATGGACCTACCTCGACTTTGTATCCCTTTCGTCTGCAGAATTTGCATTCCTTTCGTTCACGGGATTTGCACCCCTTTCACTTACAACATTCGTAACCCTTTCGTATTCATGATCTGTACGCCTTTCGTTTTCAGGTTTTTTATTCCTTTCATTTTCGGGATTTTCAGGATGTGTAGTTCTTCCGTCTGCAGACAAACAGAACACATCCAATTTCTCATCTGAAGAAGGCAACAAATCACAAAACTGGAGGCTTAGTGGATACCTTTGAAGAGAGGAGGTGGCTCAGAGGATACCGCCAAGTCGGCAGACACTGGCTCAAAGGATGCAGCTCAGGGCCCGGCACGAGTCGGTTTCTGGCGTTTCTGAAAACGAAGTCTTCCATGACTTTCGGAAGTTTTACGAAGTCCCCTTTGACCTATTTGCTTAGGAGAAGATGAAAACAAGAAATAGTTACTAGTCTGAAAGATAAAACGTAGGATAAGAGTGAAAATCCAAATTGGAGCTGAGTACTACGCATGCACAAGAGTTTGGGATTGGAGCGCGATATTTTACAAAGCGATATATGAGAAAATGAAGGCAAAAAACAAAGGAATGGCAATGATATGAAAATGTTTTCATGCTCAGGGGTAGATTTTTGACCGGGGAATCCGTCCATGATAGAAAAATCTAAAACTTATGTGAAGTGACAGAAATATATGCTCCAGACGATCTCAGATCGTCTGGTGGCCGTCTGGAGACGATCTAATTTTGAAAAACGTATTACTTCACATAAGTTTTCAAACCTTTATACATAATTCTTTTGCAAATAATTTTTAATGTACACAGTACAATTTTGGTGTCATATCACTTTGTGTGCACTGTAAACAAGCAATTTGTTTATTTTAGCCTTGCTTTCAAATTGCGCGCACTTTTCGCCATACACGATAGAGCATGTCAATCGTGTGATAAACTGTCTGAAAAGCTTGTATTCGACTAAATAGCGCTTATTCTTGGTGCTGGGCCCCGAATCGTCAAAAACGATATCTCCTTTGCTTTTTGCTCCAAAAACGAAGTCCAGCCTGCTTCTAGACGATCTGTGCCGGGCCCTGATGCAGCTGAATCCGGTGAAGGAGTTGCCTGTCCCAAAAGATCTGCAGCAGAGATCCCGTCAAACATCTCTAGTGGTTCTTCCTTGAATTCTTCTTTCCCTTCTTCCTCAAATTCTTCCTTCCTTTCTTTCTTAGGCTCTACCCTCTTTTCTTCTTTAGGTTCGAATAATGGTGATGCTTGCCTTTCTGAAAAGAAGTAAATTGAAGAAAATTGCCATATTCATACATGCGAGCAGAGTTAGTCAAATGATTAGTGCTCCATGTAACATTACCGTGCTGAAGGTCACTGGTCAATTCCTCCCTGAGCCTAATTTCTGCGACAAATATGCTCACAATTCCACGCCAGGCATGCCCTTCCAAAAAAGCATGCAACGGCCGGCTGATATACACCCTGTCCCATCAACGGTGCAGACATGTCTCATAAATTAAGTCTATTAAAGGCTAGGGTGTCCTCCAAAAACAACGCGCAAACGAGCCCGATGAATGTGAATAGTGGGCGAGGGTTACCGTCTCAGCAAGGTAAACGGGGACGCTAAAGCGGCTAGTTCACCAGAGGCAACATTCCAAGGTATAACAGACTCTCCCCTAGTTACCATTCAAAATGGGGACACTCACCTCTCGTCCTCGAGAGCTGGCAGATTTTCTGAAGAGACGGCGAGTCATATAGCCTGCATACAGAAAACGAAGTGGAGCGAAGCAAAATCACGCGACATCAGATATGGATATAAGCTTCTCTATAACGGTACCACCTCACCAGAAACGGGAATAGTATAGCTATCTCGGAGACTCTAGAGAGCAACATAGTCTACGTTGAGCGCATTAGCATCATCTGATGAGCATAAAGATAGATACTAGAAAACAGGTTCTGCGCGAGTAATTACCGCTTATGCGCCTAAGTCGGATGTAAGGATGATGGAAAGTACGCGTCCCCGCAGAAGCTTTGATCACCACATCAGTTCAATTCCACTGGAAACACTCTTGCTGGTCCTCAACGAATATGCGGAAGAAAGACGAGGAGAAGCCGGAAAATGTCACGAAGGCCACATACGGAAAATGCAGTGAAGAAGGTGAGCGCATCTGGACTTCGCCACAGCTCATGATCTGGTCTTGGTGAGCATACACTACATCGAAAAGATGACCACCTCATTACATATAAAAGTGGCGATCGTCGAACACCGGTAAAATTCTAGGCTATTCGACAGCGTGACCTCAAAACGTAAAGGACTGCAAAGTCATTCTTGGTCAGAGCTGCATACCTCAACATAAACCACTATACTTTACATCGAATCGGAGATTATTCAATTATTCGAAAAAAAAAACATTTGAATGCGAAAGATTCGAAAATTCGTATATTCGAAAATCTAAGAATTCGAATATTATTCGATAGTCGGATCGAAAACTTTCATTATTCGAAAGTCAAATATTCGAGAATCTCAACTTTCAAATAGTCGAATGAAAATAAAGAAAAAAAAGGATAAAAAAAAGAAGAAAAGAAAAGAAAAAAATTATAAATAAAGATATAAATAGATAGTCGAATATTCGAGGTCATCAATTCGATTATTCGATGTTCATAGAATATTCGAATAATCGATGAGCATCGAATATCCGAAAATTCGACGAGCATTTACTAGGCAAAAATTCGCTGAGCATCGAACAGAGAATTCGATTTCCATGGCTTCAGAGTGTCTCAAAGGTATTCACACACTCTTTGATCGCTAATGTCTCTCTTCAAACAATGACTTTAGCCAATCCTTGGGTTGCCATTTCGTAGAGCTCGCCCCAGCTTAAATCATCAGGAAAAACGTGTATGAGCAGTGTTCTTACGCATGGCTATTTCAGTACACAACTTTTGACGAACCCTCGAGCTTTTCTGATGTGCAATCAAATTTTGAGAAAATAAAAAAAAATTGTTACGCTGTACTCAGCATAATTTACAAAGCATTACGATTGGATGCAGATCTGGTATTCTGGGTAACTTTGAATACTCCACTGTTTGCGCTTTTAGTTTTTTTTTCGATTTCCTTTCTCAGGCGAAATATGGCCCCCACTGTCCCAAAACCCTCCTCAGTTCTTCTAAGGTAAACTTACAGCTGTGAAGTGCGGTCGGTGAATTGCTTCATACTATAGATTAAGTTGAAGCAGACTTACAGAACAATATCTAAGTTCTTGGAGAAAATCAACGAGAATTGTCTCTATCTTTTGGCGCATCCTGTATATCAATCCACAACTTACATTTAGAATGGGGGTTGAATGTTTCTGCAAGAAGAGCCGTCTTTCTCTGTAGCAGAAATTGCTCTATTTCACTAGTCAAGGAAGCGATCCGAAATGAGAAAATTTCTAAACTTTTGAAATTTCCTTGCAACCGCCATGGAAGTACGCCTTAGGCACCCAGGTCTCTTGGTGTCAACATTAAACCGTTTTCCCATCATAAATTGTTACATAAAAAGTGCCTATTCCTATTACTTATATTATACAACCTGTTACATGTTTTGGTTTCCATAGGCGTCATCTCATTGACATTCAACTTATTCGAATACCATTTTAAAACCGAATACTCGAAAATTCCGATTTTCGAATATTAATCGAGTCGAATTCGAAATTTTCTATGTACGATTAATATTCGATAATCGAGTAATCGAAATTTTCGTATTTCAAATAATATTCGATATTCGATTATTCAAAAAAAAAATTTTTTTTTCGGATTTCCCTAATTATATAAACCACTGCTTCTCGACGGGAGACGGTCAAGAGGCGCGATTTCTCCGGCTGTCACTAAGTTAAAACTCCAATTCAGTGCCATGCGAGTCTTCAAATGTCTGAGGTTACCAACTGCTGAGTTTACTGGCTTTTGCTGGGAAATGGACCGAAATATTTACGAATTTGTTTTTAAATGAGTTTTCATGGGTTTTAAAGGCAGTGTCCAGGCTAAACCTAACCTCCTCCGATCAGTATCGATCCTGAATGCAGGCCCCAGAAAAGGGCCATCTGCGTTGGTCCGGTCTTCTAACGTTGTCTCTGAAAGGAGATAGGGGGCCTCAAAGTCCCTGGCTGGGCGGAGTCTGATATCAGACTCCGCCTACCAGGGACTGCTCACTATCTTGTCAATACGTGCTTCCCGACACGTATTGACAAGGTAGTGAGCAGAAGCTGCACATCGCACCCTGCAATGCAACTGCACCCATGCAGTTGCAGCTCCTTCCCGCTGGCCTGCCGACGGGGACTAGCGATTCGAAACTCGTCCACGCCCTCAAGGAAGGGTCCCCAGGAATCGGGTTTTTTGTGAATTTTGGCGAATTTAAAGTTCAGAACTGTAATCAGGGCCACGGAAAGGCCCCAGAATGACGGAAACGTGGGGGGTCAAATTCTGGGTGGACGCTGCCTTTAACCTTCAAAATCGCTGTTTTGAGTTTTTCTCAAATTATTGAGATTGAACAACCCATGCAAGTATCTAATACATCTTCTTCCAAATTTCATATATTCTTAGGAAATTGTAAAACATTTATTATGTGCTATTTGATGTCCAGCTGGCAATAAAAATCGCGCCTCTTGACATGCACCCCTTCTCGACATCAAAATAACAATGGATAGACACGGAGAGCCACAGAGACCAGGATACGCATAGATGGTGGAGACTGAGGACCAACAAAGCGGTGAAACAAGCACTACTCACGACTCTACCAAGCCTGCAAGAGGACCCGGAGTGATCCTGTGCAAGCTTGAAAGATTGATTCCACAAAGTAGCAATGGGAAAGCAAACTCCAACTACCAACGATGGTGAAGAGCTCAAAAAGACAACGTCATACAAGCACCTGAGGCGGTATGTATCATTCGCCCGTCCGGTAAGAATTCCCATTCAGGTAGTATCTACTTCATGACTCGGTGCAACTATCTGTATTCTTTCTTGTTTGTCTACCTTTCGAAGGCCCTACTTCCTCATATTGTAGCATAATAAATAACAGCACTTCGCTGTATAAGCTGAAATTCTCGGTATTTTGTACGATCCGGAACGGGACCTTCAAGAAATCACGGCTCATTATCAAGGTCATTTATCATTTATCATTTATCATATTATTATTTTCACTTAATGCCTTTTTAAAGTTAGGCTTTGATCTATTATGACAGTGCTGAGCATTTTTGTGGAAGTAATAAGGAGATCTCAAGTTGACGAGATCTTCGATGAACCTCTGCTCGCGAGTTGTGATTTATCGAAAAACTCGAAACTTTCCATTTCATCTGTGCTAAAACATGCAGCACTGTCTATGTCTTCAGCACAACTTTATGTTGTATTGAATTTGCAAAGATAAAAGACTTTGAAAATGAGCCGCGATCTCCTAAAGATCTCGTTCGAGATCATACAATACACCGAAAATCTCAACTTATAAAGCAAAGTGCTGCTATACATTGCTACGATGTTAGGGTAGTAAGGCCTCCAAAAGATGCACAAACAAGGAAGAACACAGATCCCCAGAGCGGATACTACCTGTACGGGAACCCTTACCCGGATGGACGATTGAGATATACCGCCCCGGACAGTCACATCTCAGCGGAAGGAGGCCTACAAGAGGTGGTAGCAGGCAGGATGAACACAGCTGGATGAAATGCAGAGTTTTGACAAGAGTTCTGTGCGACACAGGAATGCCAGCGCATCTCAAATCCCAACTATATTGGACCGCAGCACTGTATGGCAGTGAGTGCTAACCTTGCATAAACAAGGAACACCTCAGTGTCATGGAAACAAGATTGCTGCGGTGGACCTTAGGAATAACTCTGAAAGATCACAACCGCAATGACACTATACGAACCAAAATGAAAGTAGCTTTGATTGCCTAGAAAATGCAGGAGAACAGATTATGGTGGTACGGATATGCGCAGAAGGGAACAGAGTCACATCACGAGGTTAGCCTCAACGGTGGTAGAAGCACCAGGAAAAGACTTAGAGGTGAACCCAAGATGAGGTGGATGGACACAATCAAAGGAGCTGCGAGAACTTGGAATATATAGAAAACCTTGCCTCGGACAGAAGAACACCTAGACACTGACAAGAAAAGCAGACTCAATATAAGCGGAACAGATGCGAGGACGAAAAAAGGGAATGAATAGACTTACTGTTTGACGAAGCCTTTGGTAACGTTTTGTCCACAGCACTCACCCGATTCGCTCTTTTATAACCGATTTCATAAGATCTCTAAACGGAAACCGAGTGAAAAGAGCTAAAAACATGGAGCAATCAAGTGCTGCTTGAACTCACACTGTTCGCCCTTGCTCTGTTCATCTCTTCATCATTCCAACCATCAACATCGAAGTACTTCTTCAAGCAATCATTGAAAAATCTTACGACATCGTGAGTTCCCAAAACAATCCCCTTCTAAAAATGAAAAACCTGACAAAAGTAAGATATGTCGCAAAAATCCCAACTATACAAATCGTACAACAGCAGTTAGTATACCGTATGTAGTACGAGGTAAAAAGCAAGATCAAGAGTCAAAAAAGTCTTACGTCGATGCAACTTGCAAACATGTGTAGAGGTATCGTGGCAACTTCAATGATTTTGGTCGATACACTATTCAAGCCATATATTGGAAAATGTCCACATACTTCTTTGATTTTGCGACCAATAAAAGCCGCCTGCATTGGAAAAAAAATCAGAAAAAAATCAGACAAAGTTGATTATTATTACAAAACTAACCGCTTTGACATAGTGTTCTTGACAGACACGTCTGCGAGCGCTAAGCATTCCTCTGTACAGCTTGACTGCCTTTTCAAGGTCAATATGATTTTGGATGAGCAAACACGCCAGGAAAATGGTATATTGTTCTCTTTTTTTCGCTTTTGCTTCCACCAGATGACGATGATCGCCACACAATAAACATGAGCATGCGCATACTTTATCACTGGAAGAGGGCTACATATGGATAAAAACTGAGAAAAAAAGTTCTATCTCTCCGATTTCGGCGTGGTGGAGACAAGAAGCTTATACGCGTGATGCTTTTTATGGCGAGAGAGTATGATAAGCGATGATTTGATGATCTGAAAGCAGTGTCTCGGCAAAATTCGAAGTGAAGATTTTCCGTACTGGCCGTCCGGCCTCTCGATTATTCCGAAATATAGTAAGGGAGGCTGCTATTGCAAGCTATACTATCTCAACAACCTACAACTTAGGTAGGCGCCATACTTATCCGGTCCGGTGAGTAATGGTAACCGGAATCCGGTTTGCCCCATTCGCTATTGGTCAAGTAACTGGGTTGACCCACAGCGAATGGGACGAGTCGGATGAACCGGTTGAACGGGATAAGTCTGGTACCGCTTACCGAGACGCTGTATCAAACGGATTTACTGACGTTACCAGATACCTGCAATGCTCCGCTTCCGCCCAATCTGGGAGTGGAAAATACTTACAGTGTTTGCTCAATCATATGTACTGCATCAGGATATGGCAGAGGTTCCGCAATGATGTTCTTTGCAGCTGCTTCAAAAGAAGGACCTAAAATCAACGAACATGAAGTTCAAAAATGACAATGTGTAAATGTGGTTTACCCCATCCACTCTAGAGAATACTTTTTGTTACTTTACTTTTTGAAAACCACAGAAACCAAGTGTGGTTAACCACGCCCCTTGTGGGTAACCATACCCATCCCTGTTTCATATGTCAGCTGAAGCTACATTAAGCAAAGCTCATACTCACCTGGGGCACAGTGATCCACTGCATAGAACGGGACATCGAATTTTTGCTAAAAGGGTATTTACTTAAAAAGCGAAACTTTGATAAGAAAATATGGGCCAACCTTGGCTTGCGGACGATCCGAAGAGATTGACACGTCAGTAAAACCGTTTGCTCTCTGAAAGCGAGCATACGAAAATTCGTGAAAAATGGAGACGTAAACAGAACTTACAAGAAATTGAAAAAGGTTCCGACTATCACGTGCGTTATTGAGACCAATCACTGCATAAGAAAGCGATCTAGGTAAGTTTATTTGCAGATAGAAAAGTATTCAGAAGAAGTAGTACATTGTTCAAAAACAGAAGAAAAATTGAGAATGAAAAAAATATGATGAGGTCAACACTGTCTCATGTCACTTCTGTGAATAGCTTCATATCCATTCTGAAACAAGAGACTTGAGACCGTTTCGCAAGCTTGTCTGAAGCTTGAACTTGTTTCTTCCTGTTTTCACGTCGCAAACATTCCTATATGAGTCAGATCACAAGTACAGACTTGCTAACTACACAATGAAGCTAAAAAAACAGAAGAAAAATTGAAGCTAGTTCAGATAATGTCTGCAAACCGCACTCGAGTCTTTTATTCAGAATGAATGACGCGCAACAAATTGACGTAAACTCACTTAGTAGGCCTCGTGGTAGGATCTTTGTAGGACATTGAGCTTCTTGCGGAGTTCTTCTTCAAACCTCACGTAACACAGCGATGTGGTTCTCACAACTTTCTACCGTGTCAATATCTGGCATGACGGAAAAAGAGTGTGGCCAAAAGAGATGCACAGAGTCCGCAGGTACATCCTATGCGCGTCAAGAACGCAAAAATGTTGTGCTCATACCCCGGGAGCGAAAATCGACGAAGAAACGTTGTTTTTCACCGTGGACATTTGTAAAATAGCTTAAAGGCAGTGTCCAGGCTAAACCTAACCCCCTCCGATTAGTGTCGATTCTGAATGTAAGCCCCATAAAAGGGGCATCTGCATTGGTCCGGTCTTCTAACGTTGTCTCTGAATGGAGATAGGGGGCCTGAAAGTCCCTGGCTGGGCGGAGTCTGATATCAGACTCCGCCCACCAGGGACTGCTCACTACCTTGTCAATACGTGACTCCCGACACGTATTGACAAGGTAGTGAGCAGAAGCTGCACACTGCACACTGCAATGCAACTGCACCCATGCAGTTGCAGCTCCTTCCCGCTGGCCTGCCGACGGGGACGAGCAATTCGAAACTCGTCCGCGCCCTCAAGAATGGGTCCCCAAAAATCGGGTTTTTTGCGAATTTTAGAGAGTTTGAAGTTCGAAAATGTAATCAGAGCCACGGAAAGGCCCCAGAATGACGAAAACATGGGGGGCCAAATTCTGGGTGGACGCTGCCTTTAAATTAAATGAATGAGGCTAATGCAGTGAGTACCGGAAGGATCTCTTTTCGTGATGAATAATGTCGAGTTTACTCTTGATCGTTTGTGACTTCTTCAAAGGCATAGAGACCCTGTACTTGCAAGATTGTTCTTACACCTTTGTTTTATTGTATTTGTTATGTAGGTCAATAAAATTACCAAAAGTAGCGAAATGGGGAACTGTAGCTTCCAATCTGTTAATCTTGTCTATACAAGCTTGATCGTGAAAACAGAAAAGAACAAGTTCAACCGCGTTCAGAAAATGTGCGCAAAGCGATCTCGAGTCTCCTACAGTCTTTCTCAATGCGCAAAAGGCCAAAATTTGGAGCGATGCGCAACCGCATCGCCCGATTCTGTGTCACATCTACTGCATGCTTGTCTGCCATGCCTATTGAGACATCCTCACAGTTTAAAAGTCTAGACAGGGCCACTAACAGGCCGACGTCGTGTGCATACGCTCTTATGCACGCCCTGACTCCCGTTTAGAAATTTCGCGCATGTTTTTCATTGTAAGCGCATAGTTCCGAGGTAGCTTCTATGCAGTAATATAGTGGTGGCCTGGTTGTCAAGTAAGCGTCGCCCAGCGGAAGCGGCTGGTTACTAACAAGACTACAGTGTTGTAATAGAAGGTTTATTATCTGTCGAATAGGAAACTATAGGAAACGTGAGAGGAGTGGATCTTGGACTTGAGAGGATGAGTGTGTGGTTGATATCGGGGCAACCGCCCCAGGAGAGAGAGTGTTGTTGGAGCTCCTCGCGTGCTCTATGTGACTGGTTATATACCTTAGCATTATCATAGCACATCATCTCCGAGAATATGGGAAACCCTGTTCTCATAACAAACAAACAATAACATAGGATAATATCCCAAGCAAAGAGCGCGCGATAACATTCCAGGACGAGCGCTGCTCTTACACCTCCCCCATTTCCCTCAAGTCCGTCCCGGACTTCAAAGAAAAGGAGAGGGAGTAACGGAAAGTGAATCTATTTAGGACATGCATCACATTTGTGCAGTTAATCAAGCATAATCTCCTTAGTTACTTGAAAAGCACATGTTGTAGCGAGTGGATGTGTACTAGTCAGTAATGATTATAATACATGTTGCTGAAGTGATATTCCCTGTTGAACGCTCATGAAGTGAGCTACGCCAGAGCGGTGAACGAACTGCACCTGGAAATAGTGTAGGTTTAGAAGTGTTCTCGATTTAGCCAAGAAACAGTGCACCGGACAGATTGTTTGAAGTATATGTTCGGGGGGAATCGACCGCATCGTGGCTGAGAGTGACTGAAAGTTGATTGGGAACATCAATGTGAACTGTGTGGGTGAAATCGGCCGCATCGCGACCATGCAGACCATGCATGGGCGGAGGAGCAAGTGGCGTTGCTTCTTCACCGGGTGCACCGGGATCTGTGGCGAGGGCTTCAGGTGGGCCTGGTTGTCCGCCATGGTTAAAGGCACTTGTGATCGTTAGCTTTTCTGAAATGGAAAAGGCTGTGATAGGTAGCGCAATGACCATAAGGGGGTGGGCGACAAACGCGGGTAGGTAGGTGTGATATTAACGCTGAGACTGTAAGGGAACTACAACCCGAAAACCAAAACTGCGAAATGAGTGCAACTGAACACAACCAGTAAGAACACGCCGAATAGGTAAGTGCGATACTAACCTGAGGCTACCAGCGAGCTATGATTTGAAAACAAAAACCGTGAGTAAAAGTGAGCACCACACCAGTGAAAACGATTCCGCAAGTTGCTCCACCATTTGGGCGATATCCAAGGCGCGTTGGAGGGTGGATGGGTTGGCTAACTCTACCTGAAGCCTAATGTGGGGGTGAACACGGGCCACGAACTCTTCTAAGGCGCGAGCCTGCTGCATTGCTGTATCTTGGCCAGGTGTGGCAGCGCGCACTAACCTGAAAATTCGATCTGCAAACGCCGAAGTTGATTCTCCAAGTTCTTGCTTGCATTTCGCTAAAGCTCGTCGTGCCATATTTCGAAGGTGTGGTCCCTCGTAGCAACTCTTGAGATGGGCCACTACTGCGTCATAGTCCTCCCGTTGAGCGGGTGTCAGCTCCTCGATTTTTCTCGAGCTGCACCATCAGGAAGGGCTATCAGATGAGAGGCCTTGAGCTTTGGGGATAGCGGGGTATGGCGCGTGTGGATATCTTCAAAACGGCGCAACCATACTAAGAAAGGAGTAAGGTCTCCGCTATTCGCCCCCGTGAAGCAGGGAATTTTCGGTGCGGGCCACTCTGGAGTACAGGATGACGTAAAGGATACCCTCGAATGTTTGGCCAACCGCGGTAAAAGAATGGTTGAAGGCCTGAAGCAATGAAGTATTCACTCGTTCACCTGCTTGGCTAAGGCCGTCGTTGGAACGGTAATCCTTCCATGCATCCGATATCGCCTGCGCTGTAACATCGCGCAGTTATTTAGCTTGCAACCCCTTGACTACCGACCGTCCGAGATATTGACTAAGAGACACAACCTTAGTTGCGTACTTGCATAACTGTGTGGTTGAATTCGGAGCAGCCGCCCCAGAGTCTGAGGAGTGAGTGCGGGCTCGTGTTACTGGACCCATAAGAGAGCGAGAGGATAAGACTTTGAAACACCAGAGATGAAATGAATGAACTGGAGGCACAGTTATCCTATATATGTCAAGAGGAAGTATGAAATGTGGAGGGTGGGAAAGGAAACAAATTGGTCAAGAAATGTAAGCAAACAAACTTATCCCATAAAGTTATTCACGTATACAGACGAGGAATTTGAAAGAAGATATAGAGATAACAAACCGCAAATTTTCCCATGTACTAAGCTGCGTGCCTTATCTGCGAAAGGATCTACCAAAACATACGCGTTATCGCGAAAGAGACCCACCATAGCATAAGTTTCTCGCGCACTTGGAACAAAACATTATAGTGCTCGGAGCAAAGCATCCGCTACCCAGGTACAGTTTTCCCATAAACACCAAGTCGAAACATTTGCAGATTTTTTGAAAAAGCATTGTGAGAAAAAGGGTTGCTGTAGCCTGCTGAAAAGCGGAATAAAGATCAGTCAAGAGCTTGAAAAAAGTGGTAGAGCGTGAGAAACAGTGCTAATGAAAGGAAATTGAAGCATGCCCGATTTGGCGTTATGAAGCAAGACAAAGTGGCTACGTATTAGCTGAGGAAAAGTACGGTACGAAGTAAGAAAATCACTGAGAAAGCAGAAGACAAGAATAATTAGTGATTATGTATGGTTTAATTCGGGGCAACTAACCCCAGATTGCGTGAAGAAATTAAAGATATCAGATACGCGAAACTATTGGTTGCTAGGAAAGTGGAGAGTCGCGCGGATGGCGCAGAGCACAAAGGAAGCGGGCCGGGTAGAGGAAAAGGTGAGCCAAGTAAGGCAAAACTTTGAAAAGAAAGTAGCCTCGAGTGTATAGTTCGTAGAGCTATCACAACGAAGTAATGTAAAAAAAACAACAGAATGGAATACTCACCTTATCTCCTTTGCCTGGCGAACGGGATAATAGGATAAAATAGGACGATAATCCGAATACCTGCGTAATAGATGAGGACACAAAATTAGAGCGGTTCCATGTCCTTACCGTTCCATTGTACAACCCTGAAAAAGTGAGCTAGTAATAAAAAAGAAATTGATTTTGGGGCAACTAACCCAAATTTACGGTTTTGTTCGGGGCAACTAACCCAATATTACGGTTTTGTTCGGGGCAACTAACCCAGACTTACGGCTTTGTTCGGGGCAACTAACCCCACGGTACCGTCCTCTAGAGTAAATTCCACGCGCGCGCCCTGACCAAAATCAGCCTCAACCGGGCATTTATTTCAAAACACGATTCCACGAGCTCGGATCTCACATTAGCAATTCCTTAAATTCTTCATCATCTACTCCCTTTCCACAGCGCTGGATCACTCAGCGCTGGACTACTGCCGGCCGGCCAAATCCATATCCATATTCATCTCCATATTCATATTCATCATCCCGGGGCACAAAAGACAACGATACAGAAAGAAAAGGCGCCAAAACAAATAAAAACGAAAAGAAAATGCAAAAACGAGTAAACACAAAATGGAATAATAAAGACAAAAATTGGAAGAAAGACTTAAGACGTAATTTCAAATGAAATACGTTTCTGAAAGAAAAAACTCACTCACCTGAAGCGAATGTCCTCACCCATCCTGAAAGTCCATACTCGCTGCTACCAGTAAGCGTCGCCCAGCGGAAGCGGCTGGTTACTAACAAGACTACAGTGTTGTAATAGAAGGTTTATTATCTGTCGAATAGGAAACTATAGGAAACGTGAGAGGAGTGGATCTTGGACTTGAGAGGATGAGTGTGTGGTTGATATCGGGGCAACCGCCCCAGGAGAGAGAGTGTTGTTGGAGCTCCTCGCGTGCTCTATGTGACTGGTTATATACCTTAGCATTATCATAGCACATCATCTCCGAGAATATGGGAAACCCTGTTCTCATAACAAACAAACAATAACACAGGATAATATCCCAAGCAAAGAGCGCGCGATAACATTCCAGGACGAGCGCTGCTCTTACAGTCATAAAGAACACAGAACACTGGGTAGGTGTTCAGGAGTCCAAACAGCAGAATTAGATATTCAGTCCATTTTAATGCTGTCCAAAATGGCTCGGTCGCTTTTATGAATAAAAGTCGTGTTTTCTTTTTCAACTCACAACTCACTTTCAACTCAACTTGTCAGCTAAAACCGTTCCAGCTGGGTGGCGGCCGAG